AGAATGCTGGCGGCGACGCCTTCGTGCGATGCAAATTCAGTGTTCGTGTCTTACGGGCGGAGTTAAACCAGCACCAGACCAGATATTGTCGAAGAAAACTTGCTGGTGCTGGTGTCGGTGCTCCTTTGTGAAGAAAATGATCCAATTGTTTGCCAGGTATGCTGAACGCGGTGTACCCTACAGACGTGGATATTTGTTCTATGGACCCCCTGGTACGGGTAAGAGCAGTTTTATCTCTGCTATAGCAAGCCACTTTGGATACAGTATTTGCATGCTATCTCTCAGCGAGAGGACACTTGATGATGACAGGTTTGGAAACCCTCTGTTGATTATGAGTCTTATATCAACGAAATAGTCTTATTTAGACTGAACCATCTCCTTAACACCGCTCCCGTTAACAGTGTAGTTATACTAGAAGATGTTGATGCTGCATTCGGTACCCGAACTGATCCTATGGATAATCACCCCGCTTACCAAGGGATGACAAGGTAGGTCAATATCCTCTTGAAAAAAAAAACTACATTTAATCTCTGACGAACTAAAGACACATAAACCAACGATTCCCCGCCAAAGTTGCCGTACGTGTGATAAGCTCAATCAATTGATGTTTTCCAGGGTCACTTTTTCTGGTCTCTTGAACTCTATTGACGGTGTTGGGCTGCGCTGAAGAAAGAATACTATTTATGACTACAAACCATGTGGATCGCTTGGACCCAGCTTTAATACGCCCTGGTCGAGTGGACAAAAAACAATTTTTTGGCAACGTCACTGAAAGGAATGGCGATGAAGGTAACTCTCACCGCGATGATTCACCGATATCACTGAATCGCCTCTCGTCCTTTGCCATCGAATTTCTCAGTGAGCGCTGGTAACGCTTCCATTCGTGTTACGTGCCGGATTACACTACTGTATTCACCCGGCTTGGTCTCGATGGATACCAGTGATTCTTGACTGGTATCCATCGAGATTGAGCGAGGCGTTCTGTGGAGTTCATCTTTAATTGGTGAACAAGTGTGACCATAGGGCTTGCTTTTGCTTTAGGGGCTTAGGGACTTACAGTCACATGACTGCTGAGGAATGCAATCGGTAACCTCAAAATTTCATTGTGTGTCCGCCAGCCTACCTTGTCTTGGATTCCTCGGCAACATTCAACAGCGGCGTTCCTAATCCATCGTTAATGAATTTCGGAGCCCTGGATTCTCTTCTACACTTGCATGTTTCGAAGAGTGCCAGCGCCTCGCATGCCCATTATTTTCGTTATCTTGTGAGAAAGCAGTGCTTGTTTCTCTGGGTTGGAGACCTTGACTTGGTTAAGGACTATTCACGAATAGCTGAGTACAAAATCACCTACATAGGGAAGATGCGCTATCTATAATCATATAGCTTCGATTTTGATGCTCGAAAGCAGTTTTATACCAGGAAGGTCTTTCAGGGCGTGACGAGCTTTTTGAAAACGGTCTTTTGCATGATATAGGGGCAGATGCGGGAACCACAGAACCATGTTTAATTTTTCCTGAACGGCCCTCTGAATACCAGAAAAGGGGGTCCCTAGTTCGATTCCTCGTGTGACAAATTTTTGCATTTCGAGTTGACGTTCCAAAATTCGCGCAAAATGGAGTTAGCATGAATAATTAGTACCATATTCATGATTAGGGCCGTCAGTAACTCCTACAAAAAGACTTTGACTTAAAAATTGGTGTGAGAGGTGTGACATCAAGCAGCCCCACTGTGGTGTCACACCTTTTTCACCAGTTTTTTAATCAAAGTCTATTTGTAAGGGTTACTGACGGTCCTAATCATGAATATGGTACTAATTATTCATGCTAACTCCATTTTGCGCGAATTTTGGCACGTCAACTCGAAATGCAAAAATTTGTTACCACGAGGAATCGAACTAGGGACCTCCTTTTCTGGTATTCAGAGGGCCGTTCAGGAAAAATTGAACATGGTTCTTCTAATTCCTTCGTATAATGTATGCTATACTCCAAGGACGAGCTTTTTGATGGATGAGGTGGAACATGCTTTTTGTTTACAATAGAGTACTACTTTCACCAAATGATGCATCAAAACCTATTCCTTACTTGAGATCCGGGCCGATCTTGTACAAACTTTGGAATTTAGTTGCTGCGTTTTGCGAGATGTTGTATTTGAAAGGCCCGAAACGGCCCTTATTGAATAGGTTTAAGGAATCTAGGAATGTCTCACTGTTGGTAAATAAACTATTCTGTTTCATTTACAGATGTTCACCAGATTTTATGGTCTCCAACCTTCTGATCCGCTCTGTGAGGAATTCGTCAGTTGCGTGAAGTCCCTTGGACGTGAACTCTCACCAGCGAAGTGCGAAGGACATTTCTACTTTTACAACTGCTTCTCGGACGCTTGATCGAATTAACATTCGTGTTACAGGATAGTTAGTATAGTTCATGTTTTAGGTAATTTTCAAAAGTTTTTGTTCTCTATTCTCTTCTATTTGTATTGAATGAATTATTGTCAAAAATGTTAGCAGTTGTATCAGTCTGCGTAGTGGCTAATGTAGACTTTAAAAACTGTGCTATTCCTCTCACTCATGCCTTATTATCTCTACAATAAGTATTAAATGTAATAACATTACAGAGAAAGGGAGCCAATATCAGTTATTGTTCCAGCATGAGGTAACATTAAATGCATCAGGTAGACGTCAAGGCATGCTCATACTGTAGTCCTTTCGATCAGGATTGGGAGCTACTTGGGCTGTGGACGACTTTGTTGCTTGATCGAATTTGGTGTACACATTACAGGGGGGGGGGGGGGCCAAAAAAAAAGACATTTTGCCTATGTCGGACTTCGGCTCTTTTTTCTTCGCAGAGATTGCTGTCGTTGACGGGAGTTCCTCAGCAGAGTATTCCCTAAGTGTTCCCTCTATTAGTGTACGCAGGCTCTCCTTCACTGCCCTCACCGTCTTCAGAATATGACGTCATCTGTCACCGTCGTCAGGCTCAAGGAGGTCTACCGTAAGAGCTTCAGCCTGAAGCTCTTACGCAATTTCGTGAATCGATTTAATGTTGGATAGTTTTCTAGAGGCATTAGCTACCACTGTGCAAATCCCCTCGGAACTAGCTTTCCAGTAAGGGTCGTTATGGTACACGATCCTTCGAAGACCCCATTGAGATCGACCAGTGCACCATGTTTCCAGGGCTAATTCTTCTGATGCCGTCCACGTACGTGGCCACTATGAAGATTTTCTTATAGAATGGAATGCACTCTTTAATAATAAGTTGGAACCGTTCGGTCTGAGTTGAGTAAAATGTGCTTAAATCCATCTGGAAGTGGAGGCAAAATGTCTTTTTTTTTTGCCCCCCCCCCCCTGTAGTTATTTCTGTTTTTCTTGAACGCCTTTCTTGCACCATCCAAAGAGTGAGCCGTTGCGGCCAGAGCGCCATGCATCAAAACCACAAGCACTTCCTTTTGTTACCAGCTTAGCGCTGCACACTGTCGCGTTCTTGCCGCGTTTCCCTGCGATATAAAACGCGGCTTTCGAAACTCGAACTCAGCTCTTCTCAACATTAAAGTAACAGTGAATATTCTTTCTTTCGCCGTGCTCTGCCGATTTCTTTTCTTATTATCGTGCCATCTAGCAAACGCATTATCTCAATTCCTAGACCAGCCCACTGACCGAATTACAAGTTTTGGGCAGACGCCCATTTCGATGTCCCCGCATTTGACCTTTCCTTCCCTCTCGGCATCTATGCAATTTTCTCGGTCTCTGGGCCTCTTCTGAAGTTAATGATAGTTTTTCGTGAACACCAGGCCAACTTCCGTGCGCTCACACCTGCAAATGGTTCCACCAGGGTCAACCGCCCGTTGCGCAAAGAACAACGAGGGGGTCGTATTCGGTCGAACGAAAGGGGAGGGGGTCGTATCTAGAAAGACGGGGCTGCAAGACGGCTTGAAAAGTGCAGTGTCCTGCAGTGCACATTCACGCTCTAATGTTCTCCAGGAGCTCTGCACGTGCAGCTGTCGGAGAGTCACACAGACAAGAGCTCCATGGGAGCATTAGAGTATGCAGAGCATTATAAGATTCACTATCAGCCAGTGTTGATCTTAAAGGCATGCCCCAGGATCGCACTGGTGTGGCTCTTGCACACGAATGTGAATGTATCGGTGCCAAGTGGGCCGGCAGTGAAGAAAAAAGGAAAAGAATCCGTCGAAAACGCTCAGGTTGAGGGCTCACTCACCTTCCTAATTGGCTGTGCTAAAGGAACGAGAGACTAAGCGCGAAGAGGAGAGTATGGGGCGAGAGAGCGCATCAGATGAGAGAGCACCAGACAACGGCCTGATAAGAGAGCTCGTTCGCTGCAGCTCGAGCAGCTTACTTTGCAAGCCCAAAGCGTTCTTGTCGGTCGAATTCCGTGCACGTGAACGCCACATTTGTGATTGTCCCCTAGGGTTCTATACTTCTGACCGAAGAGAAGCGTTCACACGACCTCTGCCTGGGTTGTGCCTTTAAGACGGGTGGCGCTTTGGCTGCGACAGGATAGGATAAGCTTGCATTAGCTAAAAACTTCATTGACAGCGTAGTGCAAAAACATGGTCTGCCTTCGATGATCGAACATTCCTGAAATCCCAAGGAGAACAAAGTGTAGAGCAGTTCATGGGAAGAGTGAAACAAGAGTACCATATGACAGTACATTGCAACTTAGTCACGATACTAACACCTTCTTCAGGAAAATGGAGGACTTTCAAATGCGAGTGCGACTTCTGCCCACAGACAGGTGCACGGCGTATACCCGAGCAGGCGTTTTCCATAAAAACGCCTCCTCTGTCAGCGGCCGTAAGCAGACAAACTTCCTGAAGAGAATTTCGATGCTTTCAAATAAAATCTAAGCGAAACAAAGTGTAGCGAATTTGCTGAATTGAATTCTAGAGACCCTTAGGAAAATTGAGGCAGAAAGAGAATTTCAGGAAAATTTTACACCTGTTATGAAGTACTCTTCGAGTAGATTCTAACAGTCTTTACCGCTTCTCATCACATTAATTTGAAGGAAGTTATGGGCCTTTGAAGACTGCATAGTCGCGGTCCAGGAAAATGGCTTGAAAAAAATCAAGGTGGAAAAAACGGAACAACGGGACTATTTTTTGAGCGAGTGATTATTTTAAAAGTTTTAGCACTTATTCGAAGCTCTAATCCTCTAGTTTCCTAATTAGCCTTAGACATCTGCAAAATGTTGAGTATGAAGAAAGTTACTAACGTTTGAATGTCGAAAACTCGCGCCTTCTCAAAAATCGGACCCCAAACCACCCAAGAACGGAACAACGGGACTATTTTTTGAGAGAAATGATCGCTGGAAAAAAGTCAGGTGCTTGTTCGAAAGCGCTAATCTTCTAGTTTCTAATTAGCCTTAAACTTGCAAAAAGTTAGGGTATGAAGAAAGTTATGAATGTTTGATGTCGAAAACTCGCGTGTGCACAAAAAACGGAACAACGGGACGATTTTTTGAAATATTGAACATTCGTAACATTTCAAATACTTTTTAGGAAGAGAACTATTTGAATTTTTGAAATTTTGGTGTCCGGTTCCATGAGACCGCTTCTGAAAAAAATATAACCTTCTGAATGGAGGGGTTTGTATTGCAACGTAATTGCTACAAGGTTTAGTTTTTCAGATTATAAAAGAAGGAAGAATTGAGA